CAGAGTTTATGTTGTTTTTCGCTTGAATAAGAAGATGTATGTATAAAAAAACACTATTTACCTGACCAAAGATCTCTATGTTTGCTTCTGGATAGTACCACAAATGCAAGAATCTGTTAATTCATATCATGTCGATCTTTAGATAGGAACACAAAGAGATGGTTGTTAAGGGATTGAATCGCGCGGTTTCACTTACTGCATAATGGGTATTTCGGCTAAGGGACAGGCGAAACCGAGGAGAGTGGCAATGGTGAAGCCAAGCCAAGTTCTATCGAGAGAGAACCAAAGAAACTCAGCTAATGCAAAGAGAATGTAAGCTTCTATATTGTCTGAAACTCCAGCTTTGTACATTTCAGCACTTAGCTCTAAGAACAACACCAATGCTCTGTTTTTTCATTCACCAAACCATATAGAGTTATCACTTCCACTGTCCTCAAAATTGCTATACACAAACTATACAACAAGAGTGCTACTTACAAGAGTGAAGTTACGGTTTTGTCCAGGCTACCACGTGGAGACTTTGTATAGGTTTTTTCATCCAATAGAAGTTGGAGTAAACCTACTGTGCAGTAAAATAAGCCAAGCAAGAACGGGACCTGAAAACACATTACATGATTTACAATGGAAATGTTTGTGAAAAGATTTCAAAGTAATGATTTTTCTGAGAGAATTTTAACTACCCATATGTTTGTATGAAGAGGACCGATTTGAAAAGCTCCGTTTTGGTAAACTACGAGATTGACACGTGAGTGGAGACCATCGAGAAGAGGACCCAAGAAGAAGCCTGAACCAAAAAGTGAGAGACTTACTGGGACGATCCAAGATTTTCTGGTACCGGTTTTGCTCTGCTTCCTCTGACTCAGGCAGAGGATTTTTCGAACCGGTGACCGGTTTACTACAGTTGGTTTTAGTGGTCTGATGAGAGTGGTTGAAGAAGGAGAAGATATGGCTAAGACAAACATCTTTAAAGTTCATCCATACAAAAAACGAAAAAAATTGAAAAAACATCTGTTTTAAAAGGTA